GGGAAATTTTTTTGCTAAATTTAGCGGGAATATTTCACCCTCGTGACGTCACGTGTGATGTCACATGACGCCAGTTTTTCCAATAAATTTAGCGGGATATTTTTTCCGCGGAAAAATATTTTCGCTGAATAGACCATATGCGAACCTGCTTGGTGGTCTGGCAACACTGTGCACACGGCCATCTTGACAGCGTCAAGTTCTTGAGTTTCGGTTTCCCAGCATTTCCAGAACATGGACTCTCTGCCACTAAGTGTGATACGGAAACTTTATTGTTTTCATACTTCCGATCACCCAATGTGAACAAAGGACTAGGTCATCATGCCTTTCATCTCTGAGGGCACTTTTAATACTTTTTTTTTTTTTTATGCGAACACGCATGAAGTCGGGCTGTTTAGCGGTAGACTGCCCCACACCAATACATGCGACTCAAAGATAGTTTTATTTTTTAAGTTTTGTGTTCTTTTAAAGGAAACTGTGCCGTGGGCAATATTTTTCAGTCGTTGCAAAGAGCTCAAATTGGTTTCAGATAGCATTGACCTCAAGCACAGTTGACGGGAAGGTATTTATACTGGCACAGGTTTTTATTTGTACATGACATATTTGAGCCCAACTATACTCAGAAAACAATTCGCAGCTCGAAATTCGTTTTCTTTCCGCCCGAAAACCGCCGATTGAGAACTGGCCGGTTTGAGTTAGAGCACTATATAGCTCCTACGGAGCAGAGTAGCGCAATCCTTTGAACCCCGTGTTTTGCCGACAACATGGCCGACAGAGCGGCTCGGCGCGAGTCACGTGGTACTCAGGGTTCCAGAATACATGGAGACCGACACAACACGGCTGATTAAAAAACGAACGGCGAGTTCACACTTTTCAGAACTAGTCTGTCGTGAAGTTAGTGAAGCACTAAACACTTTATCAAAGTCTTAATAATATCGGATGCGTGTGTAAATTTTGAGAAGGCAATTTCCAAGGCAATGGCGTTTGAAGCAGACGATTTTTGCTCGCAGCGGAGACGGGCTTTTCGGGTTGGCCGGAGCGGGTCACGTGAATGGTGTGACGTCGCCGTGTCGTCTGCTGCATGATGCCGCTGAGGCAATTTTTTTAAAAAAAAGTTTAGTCCTTGCGTGGTACAAAACTTAGCGCAAACTATTCTAAAATGTTTTATTATTATGTCAAAAACAATTGCCATTCCGTACAGCCCCACAATACTGAAGAAACAACGATTTTCTCACGTTCTCCATGCATTTCTGACCGCAGTTGGAAACTCCGCGGGCGTTAGCCGCTAGTCGCCGAGAGACGGCGTTCTAGATTGCGCTACTCCAGAGCCGTATACGGCTCTGCGCTACTCTGCTCCGAAGGAGCTATACACGTTTGCAAGTCCGGTCTCGGGGCGCCGCCATCTTCCTCAGTGGGGTGCGCTCTCGGGAGCGGCCATAATCCGATTACGACGCCTTAGCAAGGCTTCGTAATCGGATTATGACTGGTCCAAGCGCACCCCAGACAGGCAAGATGGCAGCGCCCTGAAGCCGGACTTGCAAACGTGTATATAGTGCTCTAGTTTGAGTCATGCTCACTCTCTTCTCCGTGGTCACGAGCCGTTTTCTATGGTTTAGACACAACCACCAAATATAAGAATAGAAAAGAAATATGACACTCATTTTTTTGTGGCTCCTAAAAAGCTGCAAATACGTTGATAGGAGAAAAAAAAAAAAAAGCTGCACAGCCGCGTGACTTCCACCAACCCTCTCCTCCTCTATATTTCTTCTTCCTCCCCACTTCGGTTTCGGATTCGAGCAGTTGCGTTTTTTTTTACTTTATTAAAAATATATGCGACGCTGTAGCAAAATATTGACTGGGTAGTCTTCTGACTCCATAATAAATCGACTGGCAAAAAATAAAAATAAATAATTTTGAGGGATGCCAGTGCCTCTTTTAATGAAAATTTGTTCAACCCTGGCAGAATAACTGCATTGACTTTCTCAAAAAATACCCCCAAAACTTCTTTGCACTAAACAAAATGTTTACCTCGGCTGCGACAAAAAAAAAAGTAAAAGGAGATTGTGAAATGGAGTTGGCACCGCTCGTGTTGCTTCACTCGACGTCCGCAACGTAAGTTTTCGCCGCCGCCGACATCGGAGTTTTGTCAAAGTGGCGTTCGACAAAAAAGACAGGAAACTACCGTCTCCGTGAGTGTTGAGCATTTTAGAAATAAATAGCGCGAAGGTCAAGTACTCACTGACGGAACAAGTGCTAAGAATTTTGCTCGGGAGGTTGAAATGGCGGTTAAATCAATGTAATAAGAAACTGGGTCTGGATAGGATACACACGGAAAGGAAGAAACTTTACTAAAATATTAAGGTGGGCTAGTTGCATATGCATTTTAGAAAACTGTCTGTTGAGTAAACAGACACGTCGTCCGCGTCTGTTGTGTTTTATATTCTACATGACCGATATTTAAATATTCAAATATATTATATCAACAAACTCTCCTGTCTAGTTTTAGAGACGTTTTACAAACCTCGTTTACCGACGCCAGATCAAGTATATAAAAATCGCCGCAAAGCAATGAAATTGTTTTCTGGCTTTCCAAAGTATTCTTTTTTTTTAATATATGACATTAAAATTAGGGATCTCTGGTGCTTTACAGTAAACTAATCCGTCACTTTTCAGCGAAAGTAATTGGTAACGGCTATTCGTTACATTTGAGGTTTGGTAATTCGTAATTGTAATCCATTACATTTTTCAAGTAAAGGACACCAGTCTGGTGGACAGTGTATATACGGCGCTGTAAAGGTGCGTCGATCCGACTCCAATGAAGTTTGAGCCTCGCCCATGCAGAACCGAAGCTTCGACGCTGCGCCAGGGACGGCGCCAAAGGGAGGCGAGGGGTGGCGGGCGCCTCCCCTAAAATTTGTCCTGCCACCCCAAAAATATGCCAGCCTTTACACCCCCCCCCCCCCCCCCCCCCCCTCGCACTAATTTTCGCGCGCAGACCCACATACGCTACATGGCTCGTCATTTTCCTAATTTCCTCGTCCCATAGAAAAGGCATTGGCTTGAAGGATAGCCACCCTAAAGAGGTCTCATACCGGACGTTTCGAGCTTTTTCGTGCCGTCCGCTTTATTTCCTTCTACTTTCAGGAAGTATTTTCAAAATACTTCCTGAAAGTAGCTTCACCCAAATGATTACTCGGAGAGATTTGAAATCTCATCTGCACTTCACCGTCGCTTCGTACCTGCCAGACAAATCTCCCAAAGTCCTGACACGCTCGGGCCGACTGGCGGGTTCCCAAGGGGCGGCTTTGATGTGTCTAGGTCATCCTGCTTATTTCAAGTCTCTATGGGGTCCTTGAAGCAACTTTGGTGAGCCTGGCGGTTCGAGAACTGCCATGCTCCCATCATTAGTGACCCTGGGGCAGGCACGGAGTCCCTTCGAGGGACTATCCCTAGAGGTTGGAGGAAAGCTGAAAGTGTTTCTGTTCTGTTTGTTTTTTTTTGTTTTTTTTTGGGGGGGGGGGAGGGAGGGAGAGAAAGAGAGAGAGGGGAGAGAGGGAGGTAGGGAGGGAGGGAGGAAAACAGTGGAAGTGCTGCATTTTGACAGAGGGCTATCGAAACTGGAAGAAAGCTCTTCAGAAGGAAGGCGGACTACGACGCCACTCCAACAGTGCGGCACGCAAGATGTCCCAAACATATCGGCTTCCTTCAAGGAGATGAAGAAAAGTGGCGCGGCTAAATCAGTCGCCGTGTACCTTTGCCAGGCGTATTCAGCAAAGAAGGGAGAATCGCCACTACATGTACATGATCGCTGACGTGCTCCGGTTTCAGGGGACTGCCTAAAGAGCAGATGATGAGTCACGACAAGCGTGAGCGTGCTTATTTAGTATTGCGGAATGTAAACATGCCTGAATATTTTGCAGGTGAAATGCTACATTAACCAGAGTTGTACATAGGTTGTAAAATTATGAAATAAACTGAGCTGATTTCTATTAAAAACTCCCGAAGTGCCAAGTCATCGTCCCTGGATGTTTGTTCTTTAAGTCGGATCGAAAGCTCATGCCTCCCCAAAAATGCCGTGCGCCTCCCTACTGCCCCCTCACTAAGAGAAGTCTGGCGCCGTCCCTGCGCTGCGCCGGTGGTGGGCTAAACATTCCGTCACTGTTCGCATTTCATATTCGAACCTGCGGCAGCACATGCTCTATCGTCGCTGATCCAATCATCAACAGAAAAGATCTAGGCGCTTTTGACGGTGCTCGATTGCTCCTATTATTCGTAGACCGCGTTTCCCCCTCCGCTAAGCCCTCCGCAACGAATGAAGCCGCTACTGCACCCGCGCCGCGCGTCCGTGGCCTTGACTGTAGAGCTCCGGGCAAAAGCGAGCTACGAAAATTTACCTCATAGCGTCGGCTGCGTCTGGACCGAAATATATATGGCGAGTTTCAAAGTGCGTCGTGCGTCTTTCGCGCATCGGAACGCAAGGAAGAGCGTGCCAATCAAAGGGAAACATAGACAATAGGGAGTTTTCGTAGATCGTTTTCGCCGTCCCGCAAGGCCCTCCGCAACCCGCTACGATAGCGGGAACTCCACAGTCAAGGCTATCGGCGCGCAGGGGCAGTAGCAACTTTTTCGTTGCGGAACGCCTAGCGGAGGGGGCAGCGCGGTCTACGAAAACTCCCTAATGCGCCGGGAACGCGCGATGCCGAGGCAGCCAAGCGCACGCCGTCATTGGCTGAGGTCGGGAGGAAACAGAAGCACACGGGCGCGCGTTTAGGAGGTAAACAAGCTTAATTTTACTTTCAGAATATCAGACTTTCAATTTTGGCGGCGTTTGGTTTAAAGACGCGGCAGTATACAAGCTTCCACCGTGTACTCACACCATAGAAATTGTCGCTGGCAAATGATAATCCTGGTGGTGACGTCACGGATAGAAATCATCAGAGGGACCTCAAATAAGCATCTGGTCGACCACCAACTTTGAGAAATTTGAGAGCCGACAGTGGGAGTATATCTCACGGGGCCAGCAACCGTTTATTGATGCCCCTTCAGTCTCCCATTGAACATACGGAGCCGGCTAGTTTGAAGCGCAACGTGATGGCCTCAGTCGGTATTATGCGGGCGAGTGTCCAAGTTCCCTGTCTATGTGGGACCGGAAGATCGGGTAGACGACGCACCAGAGCGCATCGAGGTCCAGGTTGGAGTCCAGGTACACCGCCGCAGCGAGGGCCTCGAACAGATCGGCCAGAGGCTTCGGAGGCATCTGCGCCACTATGGCCGTGTAGTCCTGCGTACACAGAATTTTACATCTCATCCGCAACTTATCGAGGGTTTAGTTCGTGGTTCCAGCGTGGAAACGAAAGGCGTCGACACTGCTTTTCGGGGAAACTCGTTTTGTGGGCACATGGTCCTGCAACGTTAAATCAACAGCTTATTTTTAAATGCGTCAGCATGTATTGCCCTGGTGAATGCAGCCGTTTTTTGCTTGGACGGTCGTGGTTGGACTGGACTAGAGTCCGTGTATAAGCTCGATCCAGAGTTGCGCGTTCATCAGAGACTGTGATGAACGCTACTGTGATTCACAGTAGCGAATTACTCCGCTTTCCTGCACGGCCCGGAATTCTTTGCTCGCCACGTGACTGCGCGCGCCGCGCACTCCTTTTCCTCTTGTTGGAAAACAGGAAAGGAGGAGGCAAAAGAAGGGGAACATTTTGGGAACATACTCCGAAGCGCGTACAACGTCGTCGAAACGGCCGTAACGGTGGCTTTCCTGCACGGCACTAGGATTCTTTGCTCCTCCCTTGTTCGATCTCGTCGAATAGCGGCGCGGCGACACGTGGAAAACAGACGCGCAACTCTGGCTCATCAAGTATAACCACGGCAAGCAAGAAAGAGCACTGACCCTGTCTCCGACGCTCTGTGCGTATCTGACCACTTCGTCGTTGAGACTGCCAGAGGCCGACCGCAGGAACTTGTGCATGCCGTGGCGCACGGCCAGGTAAGCGAAGAACCGGTTGCACTCGAGCTTCTGCCTCGTCTCCGTCAAGTTCCTGTTGGTCAGCGGGTCCAGGCAGCCATACAGATGCGTCGAGATGAGCAGTTTGAGCAGCGCGTCACCCAGGAAGTCCATGGGTCGCATGCTGCCGGAGGTCACGCGCAGTTCCTTCGGGAATGAGTCGTGTGTGAACGCGTCCAGAAGCAGGCCCTACGGTGAGAATCGTCCTCAGGAGGCAGTCGGTCAGGAGCCAGTCTCCGGTTTTCAGAATTAAACAACATTCGGAAAACAAAACCAATGTACAGTCCTGTTATGAGATGAAAGCGCTTCACCGCCACCTCCTCCTCATCATCATCATTTATCAAACATTGCGGAGTAAGGAGTTGCGAAACATCGTTCTGCAGGGTGGCTATTCTTAAGCTTTACAGATGTTAAAAAAAAGCAAAAAAAAAAAGAAAAAAAAACGTTAAAGCTACACGAATGCGGTTTGTTATATGGCCAGGGGGACATAATATAAGGGGGTAATCGTCACAATAACTAGACTAATAAAATTAATTAAAATAAAGCATATGGTTCCAATTGAAAACTTGCTGAGCGTCATCGAAAACTACAAAATCAATTTAGAAAGACTTGGAGCACACCCGAGCGGGTTTTCCGTCTCGTATTAATGCGACAGCCTTCTATAGCTGCCTCTGGAACTTTGAGGTCGTCCTCGACCTCAAAGTTCCAGACGTTTTAGACGTCGTGTGAGCCTCATGACGAATGCTATCGCAATTCATAGACAACAAACAATAGAGGTTTCTGCAGCTAATCTTGTTTTCTCACTGGTAACAATTGTTCCCGCTGCACAAGCGGTCCACTGTGCTTCCCATGTGCTCCAAGTTGCTCTAAACTTGGTTGATTTAGTTGATTTCGACGACGCTCAGCAAGTTTGCATTTGGAACCTATGTTTATTTTCAATAATTAGAAAGTTAATTAACGTACCTTTATTAATTAGCCGATTTATTTTGACGATTAGTCCCCTATATTACGTCACCCTGGCCATATACTCAATTGCACAAACCGCATTCGTGTAGCTTTCGCGATATTTTTTTTGAATAAATTCGTGAAGACTAAAAAAACATCCTCATAAATGCGGGACACCATTATATAGAACATTAACATAAATAATGTCTTAGAGGGCACTTGAAATAAAAGAACGGATTCCCTCCCTGTAACGCTATCGATCGTGTTGAACGTATAGGACGTCTAAAGTTATAATTAACTTAATCAGAACGTTAATTATTGCATTATAGGTAATTAGTACGCCAGTCATCGCTTTGCGGTCATACCCTAATGTCTGTCACAGTTGATGACGTTTTTCCGAAATAATAATTTCTTTATTTTAAATGTCCTTTTCTTAAAATTTATTTCTTTAGGTAGGAAAAAAGCTACCAATCCAGCCAGTCAATCAATCAATCATTTCATGCATTATTGTGCCCCCAAAGAGCTGGCAGGCCTTAGGCATGTACATGAAGTGAAAGCAAAAATATGTCAGAATTATTATTAGTTGTATGCGGGTCAGATTGAAAGTTACAAAGGAAGAAAAGCAGGCTTGTTTTGTCGGAGGGAGTGGGGGGGGGGGGGGGGGGGGGGCATAAACGGAGGTTCTTCTCCGCGAGAATTAATAGCAGCGTTAAGCACCTTATACAAAAAGAAAAAGTGTTTACTTTCGCATTATTTGTTCAATCCAGACCTTCAGTCATCTTAGAGGTTTCAGAGAAATTATGGAGCGTACCAGCAACCTACTGTCGTTACCAAAAAGTGTAATTTCACTCACATGCTGGCATTGAAAAGATGCAGAGGAGCTCTGCCCACCCAGGGCGAGCATCCTGCCCTCGACGATACTTCGGTGCCTCGTGAGCAGCCACAGCCGAAGCACGACGGAAGGCAACGAGCGCGTGCTCGAGCTTCTAGTGCGTTCTTAACCAGTCACCCCTCGTGGTTACGCGTGCGGGTACATGCGCCCATAGCCTCCTGCATACTCACAAAGTCTGGCAGTTCGACGACGTCGGAGCCATAGAGCGCCCGGTAGCAGATTTGGAGCGCGAGGATCTGGTAGCAGAGAACATATCACATATCAAAGAGCCATTTCTCGAGGAACCTGAACGTGAGCGCACAGCTTTTGAAGCGGCGAGGACCCGAAACACACTTGTTCGCTCGAGAGAAGCGTGTTTTGGCGTCTTGCCGCAGCGTGGCGCCGGTCATGTGGCTCTCCTCTCATCCGTTGTATTTCGGCGGCCGCTTCTCGTGGCGATCTGCCAGGCTTTGTCAATATGTAGGAGGCTATGATGCGGCGTATGAAAGGAACTTCATAAAGCCTGCAATTGCGCGCGCTTGTTCTCACGAGCAGAGATATATGTAGCCTTAGGTAGTAACGCGTTACTAGTAACGCGTTACTAAAACTTTGTTACTTTTTTGGTAACTTGTAACTGTAACGAGTTACTTTTTAAAAATGTAACTTGTAACTGTAGTTCTATTACTTTTTTCTGAGGTAACGATGAAAGTAACGACGTTACTTTTGTCGTTACTTTCCAGTGTTTTATGAATAATATATCACTGAACGAGGGTGCAATTTAGCCATTCCTTGCACTTTCCAAATCGTCTATTCCGACATTTCGAGTGTCAAGTTGCCCTTGCACAAAGTTGTGAATACGTTCTTTCTCGTGAGTCACGACCCGAATATAGCCACGTGTAGATTTTATGAAAAAATATCTAGTTATCTTTACGCACGCACTTGTACTTTGTGACTGAACACTTACATCTTAGTGTCTTGAAGCACTACCGATGTTGTGTTTTTTCTTTTTTCTGCACAAACGCATTTTAATCGGGTGAATCAACCGTGAAACAACAATACACGGGAAGGACACTGTGCATGTCTCGTATTTTGATTAGCGCCACTACTCCGCACTGCGCATGTTTCGTATTTTGATTTGCGCCACTACTCTGGCGTGGAATCTTTCAAACACTAACTTCGAGAAGCAACTGCTGCTAAGTTACAATGTGAAGTAAAAAGCGTACTTTTTAATTTTATGCAATAAAACGTTGTGAGGGGCGTTTTCTAATTTTTTCTAATTTTTTTTTGTGTTATAGAAAAGTAACTGAAAAGTAACGTCGTTACTTTTTAAAAGTAACTGTAACTGTAACGAGTTACTCTTTTGTTGCGGTAACTGTAACGGTAACTTCGCTACTTTTTTCTAAAAGTAACTTAACTGTAACGAATTACTTTTTAAAAGTAACGTAACCATGACTGGATATACGGCGACGGCCATATGCCCCCGTTGCTGCTGAGCGCGTGCTGCCAGCGAACCGGCCGTAACGACTCCAGCGCGCGCACTCGACATCGTCAAAGTCATCCTTCTTGCGTAAGCCGGTCGTGGACAAGCGTGAGCTCCATGTGCTGTGAATAGTTCGCTCTGTTGGCTAATCAGGCTTTTTTTTTTTTTTTTTTTCAGCCTGAGGTTTTAAGAACAACAAATTCACACAGGATGTGTAACGTATATTAGCAACGCGTGACGCTTCTCGAACACGCGAGCATCAATGAAGTACGACTGCATGCAACCCCCTTCACAGTCCGTGGGACGCTGGGAATGCCCACGTTTGTGATTCGCAGAACTGAACTGAACTTTGCCCTGAGCCTTTGTATTGTCTAAACAAGATATCGTCTCATTGTCTCATCGGCAGAATGACCAGATGCACGCCACGTAACGGACGTGACCGCCTAATCTTGTAATCGAATGTTAATCCATTTTCACAAATCAACGTCGCATTACGGAATTTCGCAGTGTCTAGCGTAACGTACGACGGAACCAGAAATAAAAATTAAAGTTACGTCCGACGTAACTTTACCCCAAGGTTTCGAGTTACGTCCAACGTAACTAGGGTGACCACCTTCCTGCTAGCGAAATGCAAGACACGCTGACCCGCGGAGAGAGAGAGAGAGGGGGGGGGGGGGGGGAGGGGGTTGTAGTTGTAAGAGAAGAACGCTATTATATTTCGACTGTGGCAACTGCAAAAAAAAAAGAACTTAGTGCTCAGTCGAGCTGGTGGAAGTTTACCATGATGCTTTTTAACCCGAGACGGGCAGAAGGAGGAACAGTTTCGCCCCTCCATCCGCCACAGTTTCAGGTTAAAAAGCAGTGTTGGGAGGTACTTTAAGTACATTGTACTTAAAGTATTACTTCAAGTAGGTTTAGGAGACTTATACTTTCCTTGAAGTACATTCTCTGAGTATGTACTTGTACTTCAAGTATTTCTTTCTGGTACTTTCCGAGGAAAGTACAATTCCCGACTTCAAAGTACATTCCCCAATTTTGTTTTGTTAAATTTGTATCACGAAATGATGCTTTGTCAACTCAGAAGAAAAAGTGGGAGGGATATTCTAATCTCGCCAAAACGTGAGCCGACGATGCATCGCTCCGTTTGTTCTGGGGGCGGCTTTCCCGTGGCTTTTTAAACTCTCTCTACTTCTCGGTCGGTCGGCGCAAGCGAGGAGGATTAAAATATCAGGAGAGCAAAATTAATCATAATGTAGCACCTGAGACTGTGGTGCTGAAAAATTGAATTTTCAAGTCGAAGTAAAAGACAACAGAGGAGAACGTCACAATGTTTTGAGGCATTCTCTTTTGTCTCTTACCTTCTATTTAAAAATTCCTTATTTTCGCGCCCCAATCTCAGGTGTCACATTATGATTAATTATCACCAGCGCCCTTGCACACTCACTGCTTTTTGCATTAAGGAAAGACACTCCTCTATCAGAGTATTGCTTGCGGAAGCCTATGGGGCTGACGTCATGCTCTCTCCTACTACATTTAGCGCCCTTGAGTGCAACAATCCAGTGCAAGGGGCGCCAATTCAGAAGAGGGACCTCTGAATTTGGCTCCATTCCTGAAAATATATCCTCTGCGGCCACTTGACTTCATCAAATATTGGACTTTGTTTTTGAAAATAGGCCATTCACCCCTGGTTACCCCTGGGCCCTGGGCAATGTATACCAGTTTAAAAAATTACTGTATAGGGGAATGAAAGGGCATCATAAAAGATTGTGTTAAAATACTTGTACTTTACTTTCAAAGTACATTGAATTTATAGTACTTTACTTCAAGTACGTTGCACCCGTTGTATTGAATACTTTACCTAAAGTACATCACGTCTCATTTACTCTGCATTTTACTTGAAGTACCTTTTAGATGTACTTTACCCAACACTGAAAAAGCATCATGCAAAAATAACTATTCGAGGAAATTTATTAGCAAACGCCACGAAATGTGCTCTGCTAACACATTCAATATCAGGTCTTGTCCAAAAGCATACTTTACAGAGCTGTACAATATGCTTTTGGACAAGACATCATATTTCTTAATTGCCGCAATACAATTTGCAGCTCTTCAAATTGTTTTTGCGGGCAATCAAGCTCAAATATTTTTCTCTCCCAGTGATATATTTTAAGTTTTAATGCTACGTATATATGTTAATAAATATATCTAAGTTGAAAACATAAAATCCACTGCAAGCAGAGCTTAAAGGGATACTACAACGAAATTTCGGCGCTCATTTTTTGGTCTATATGTGTTCAAAGGAGCAGCATCACATCGAACATACCAATATCTTGTTAAAAAAGTCTCGAAAAGGAATTTTAAAACGAAATTAAACGATTAGCAAAGAGCACCTGGTGGATGTCGCTAACGCCTCGCTTGTAATGCCCCGTCTAGGAACCTTGACAGCTAGTGACGGAGGTTGTCTCGCCTCCGGCCACGACGAGAGAATGGGGGCAGGAGGAACTCCCCTCTTCCCTGAATGCCTTTTGTGTGTCGCAGAAGTCGCTATTGTCCCCCTACAAGATTACAGAAGATTAACCCGTCACTCAAAATTCGTAGCAAAAGCAGCCGCTTTAGTGGCTGGAACGACTAGGCCCATCCTCGCGCCGTCAGCCTCGCCGTAGCTTTGCTCGTCCCCTGAGACGACCTACGTCACGATTGCGTTGGATGTCACGTGGTCTCCGCTGGGCCTTCTCCGAGCGCTTGCCAGAATGGGCCGTTTATAACGAAAAATACAGCCACCAGGCTCAAATACAAACGTGCGATTGTCATTTAGGGATATTGTGGATCATATTCAACCTATTTTTGAACACGACGGGAATATTTCAAATTTCGTTGAAGTATCCCTTTAATGCATCTAAAAGGAAGGAAGAAGCAGTACATCTTTCACGGCCTTCTTGTTTCCTATCGATTCTTATTTTACCTACATGCTCCTACAGAAATTTCGAACCTTATTGTTGTTTTTTGACAGATGTAAGTTTCTTTTTGCCTTGTGTGTTCGTCTCTCCCCCCCCCCCCCCCCCCCCCCCCCCCCCCCCCCCCCCCCCCCCACAAAAAAAAAAAAATTATACAGCAACTTTTTTGCACTGACGCAGCACGATTTGAAAACAATTACAATGACTTAATTATTTATTTTTACTTTTTGCGAGCAATTTTTTCTTGCAATATTTTGTCACCAAAAGAAGAGGCACAACCGCGCATGCGCGTCAGATCTCCTGCAAGAACGGCGGTCGCAACCGCAATGCTTGGATAGAAAATGGCGTACCATCGCGATTCACTCTTTTACCAGCGACTTCGTGCCCCGTTGTTGGGCAGCAACTATGAGATGCGTAATGAATTTTACGACAGTGTGAAATGCGGGACCTTCTGAAGATTTGAAAAATTTCTTGCGGGACATGGGCCATGAGCCTCAATGCGGGACAGTCCCGCGAGTGGCGGAACGCGTGGTCACTCTATACACGTAACCCAATATGAAAATTAAGTTGCGGCTTCTACGTGCTTGCGTCTTTGCGTCTACTCGGCTGTGGAAAGCGTTCTGAGCATGTCCAAAAGCTCTTGACTATTAGGCCTTTTTTGCCCGAATGATAAGCGCTGGAAAGGTACAACCTCTTCCGGTTTTCCATGTCGTGTCAAGCGAGGTTCGAAACGTATCGATTTTTTTGTCGTTGACAATTGTAACACATGAAACTGAGGGCGACGGCGACAATCGGATGAGTGCATGCTGTTGCGTTAGTCACTGGATCCCTATATAGTTTGCGTATGACTGTTTTTCTTTTTTTGTCAAGCTTAGTGACACTATGTGAAGTCCACTTCCGAGCTTCTCTTTCAGCCTGGCGCGATCGACGTCGACATACACATCTCACTTCCAACAACAGCACCATTGAGACCCGTCGTCGACCATGTACCTGGAAGGTATACACATACCTTGTCACGGAAAGTGTAGTTGAGCCTCGCTTCAATGTCCCTGTAAGGCCTGGCCACGATCTCCAGCTCCGGCCCAGAGACCCTGTCCTCGCGCGGTACGGGCCTCGTCCAGAAGAAACGGCTCCCGACAACCCGAGGGACGACGCGGCCATCGTGGACCTCACTGGTCCCGGTGAGGACCAGCCAGGATCCGCTCCTGGTCAGTCTTGGTACCCACGGCCGGTCGGCCGGCTGCTTCGACTTCTTCGCACGCTGATGACGCTGCAGCCTGTTGGTCTGGCTCATGGCTAGATGTTGCTTGATATTGTCGTTGTTTCCAGGGGGATCGGTGACCGAGTGGTCTAGCGCGCACCACCTCGGAGCACGTGGAGCGGAAGCTTGCGCTGCAGAACCCAGGGGAGATCGACCTAGAGGTGGCGCTACGGTCGCGCTATCATCATCATCATCAAAGCGGGGATAGGAGAACGGCCGCCCCATAGGCTCTCCAAGGTCGCGCGCGAGACGCGTAGATTCTTGCGTTTATTTTGTCGCATACTGTCGGTGGGAAAACAATTCTAGCGGAAATGGATGCAGTACTGTTCGGTGCTTCAGTGAAAATCGAAATCGTGTTGTCCAGCGTGCGGCCCAAATTTATATAATCGCTTCTGTGGGGTGCGCGGTCTGCTCTAGGCAGACGTTGGAAAGCATGGATCACCACGACTGATGCCTGTCTCCGGCTGAACTGGAATATTTATGTTAAATATTTTTTCTTTTAAAATGGCTGTATCGGTCCATCAACACGGGAATTAAAAAAATAATAAATTCCAACCCAGATAACATAATACTGGTACTGTGGGCTGTGAAATCGCAGCTTCTATGTTTTTTTTTTTTTTTTTTTTTTTTTAACGTCTAGCTTTTGCAGTAATATAAATATTTAGAATGAAAATAAGTTAGCGCTGTATTGGAAATTACCATGCTATTGAGTTCCTCTGCCCTTTTACTGTGCCATAGTGTGGGTAAATTTTTTGGAGTCTGAAAAATCTACTGCGTTGCGATGAGGAGAGAGTGCCTCTTCTAGTTAAGATCTGCAACTGCACGGTTGGCAGGACAACTGAAACAAGTGGAACAAACTGTTCTAATATATCTTCCGTAACTGTAATAAACGAGTGTAACCGAGCAATGCAACAATGTTCCTATTATTAAATGCTTTTCTCGGTAGTGTGGGTTCACCCGCTTCAATTTTCTTGGTGATTTGCCGCGGATGTCAAGATGCTAATACTATAAATTCTGGCTAAATAATCGTGTATTCATACACGGTAGACTTTGCAACCCAAAACAAACGACGCGCACCACGACACAGACAGCATCGGCCGCAGTGATACTCTTTTACTGATGAGGGGCTAGCGACCTTCACGAGACTTTCCGATC